CTTAAATTAATTTTTTATTTTCGAATCTTGTGTTCAAAATATTTGCATGTATATTTTAGAATTATTTAGATCTCCAATAATTCTACTTTCATATGAATGCTTCATGTATATTTTTTAGAATTATTTAGATCCCCAATAATTCTACTTTCAAATGAATGCTTCATGTATATTTATCATCGACATCTTCTGCTTATTCATATCGCTTTGTTTATGTATTTGGTATGGAGATTCATTTGTCTGATCAATATATAGAGGTTTGGTTATATATCAAAATGAAAAATATTTGTGTGAATATTCGTCAATATTATAGAAAGATTTGTTTGACGAAATATTATAGAAAGATTCGTAAATATTATACAAATCTTCGTAGTTGAGAATTTATTAAAGATTTCTATCTTTTAAAATTAGAATTGAAGGTAGTAAAATCTCATAAATATTTCTATGGAAATGTATTAAAATAAAAGATGAGAAAGGCGTTTGATGTCACAAAAAAAATTATTTTTACCTTTGATAGAAATTTCCGTCTATAAATAAGAGTAGTTTGATTGTGAATATCATACTCATCTCTGAAAACCATTTTTAAGAAAATAAGTTTGAGAAGCCTATTGAATTTATATGATTTTTTTTTTTGGCCGTGATATCAATATATAGTGGAGATTATTTGCTAGGTTTAATTGTGCTTGCGATTTTTGTCTAATTTGACTGTGGCCGATTTTATTATTGAGCTTGGGCTAATTTTAGTTAGGGATTAATGGGTTAAATGAGAGAGAATGTCATGTCATATTTTTTACAATGCCATGTCACATTAAAATTGGGAGAATGATTTTGGTGAAAACATATCCTCTATATATTAATAGAGGAGACACTAGGTGAAAATCTTAGGTGTCATCCAAAGAAGATTTTAAGAAACTTTTAATGAAAACTATTAAAACTTCTTAAAGACATTATTGTGTAAATAATTAAACTAAATTTATATCACATATACAATATATAACTATTAAACAAATATGGAAGCAAAAAATATGTGATAATTTATATGGAAGATTTTATTTAAAGAATATAAAGCATATGTGAGAATATCTTTTTTTCAATAACTATTATATTTTTTGGACATGCGTTAGAATATTCAAAAAAAATTCATGATTTTTTTAATATATGGAAGAAATTAAAAATAACAAATATATATCTCCAGTATAGATAAATATATTTTATCTTACAAAATTTAATTTGCATGATACTTAGCTAAAATGTAGAGATTTTCTTAGAAATGCCACTTTTCAAAAATGTCAATCATTTTGAAATTTTCTTTAAAATGCCACTAATTCTATATATATCAATTGAATAGACAATTGATGAAAAAATCATATGTATTATTTAATGAGAGTTTTAAGGAATATGTCATTTAAATTAACTAATGAAAATATTTTAATTAAAATTATATGCCATGGTGGAAATCTATATTTTTTTTTTATTAATTTTATAACATAAACCCATTAATATATATATTTTACAGAATTAAGTTTAACTAAATATAATATTTAGACTTATCCTCTATATATTAATAGAGGAGACACTAGGTGAAAATCCTAGGTGTCATCCAAAGAAGATTTTAAGAAACTTTTAATGAAAACTATTAAAAYTTTTTAAAGACATTATTGTGTAAATAATTAAACTAAATTTATATCACATATACAATATATAACTATTAAACAAATATGGAAGCAAAAAATATGTGATAATTTATATGGAAGATTTTATTTAAGGAATATAAAGCATATGTGAGAATATCTTTTTTTCAATAACTATTATATTTTTTGGACATGCGTTAGAATATTAAAAAAAATTCATGATTTTTAATATATGGAAGAAATTAAAAATAACAAATATATATCTCCAGTATAGATAAATATATTTTATCTTACAAAATTTAATTAGCATGATATTTAGCTAAAATGTAGAAATTTTTTTAGAAATGTCACTTTTCAAAAATGTCATCATTTTGAATTTTTCTTTAAAATGCCACTAATCCTCTATATATTAATTGAATAGACAATTGATGAAAAAATCATATGTATTATTTAATGAGAGTTTTAAAGAATGTGTCATTTAAATTAACTAATAAAAATATTTTAATTAAAACTATATGCCATGGTGGAAATCTATATATTTTTTTATTAATTTTATAACATAAACCCATTAATATATATATATATATTTTACAGAATTAAGTTTAACTAAATATAATATTTAGACTTACTATATCATCTATTTAAAAAAAATTGTATATTAAAATGCTTTTTATTATTATAATATGACAATATTATTTATTTGTTAATGATAACTACACTTATAAATATTTTTATATTTTATTATTAGAAAACATATAATTTTTGTTTGACAAATTTATATAAATATAAAATTTATTTGATTTATCGCATATTCCACATTTTTACACAAATAATAAAATTCAATTTGACACTTCAAATAAATTGAAATAAATAACATTTGCATTAGTTTTAATATTTTTATGCAAAATTGATCAAAACATATGACATTGAAATATGTTTAGTAAAAATTTAATTTTATTACATTTATGCATAATACATATCATTTTATACGTTTATAAATATTAGAATAAACGTCTAAATATTAAGATCGAGTAGAAAAAATATTTAAATATTTAATCCCACGCTTGGCGTGGGTCAAAATCTAGTAAGCTTTTGTTTAAAAATCACTCTCCAATTAATATAGATAAGAGAGAAGAGATTTCATTTATTACTTTTCTAAATTATTTATTGTCACCGTATGCTTACCATTTCAGTATAATAGTTTATTTGTTCATTCTCTAAATATTTTCATCTTCATTTCTCAAAATTTCTCTAATTCAATTTTAAGGAGTTTATCATAGTTACTGTGATGTGGTGAGATAGCTGGGGCCGGTTCCAATATCAGCAAAGACCTTAGGCCAGAGGGATTACTTGGATTGCAAAGAGGTAAAACAATTAAAAAGAGATATAGAGTAATTGTATATTAAATAACTAAATAGCTTTGAATTTTTGTATATTGAATCATTTGAAATGAATTCCGTCCTTGATCAACCAAAGAACTTGTAGATATTCAATTTTGTGAACAATTTCATAGTTTGGTCTGAACAGTGAAATAAGCAATGCTCTCTTGCCAAAAGATTGTACATTTTTCAGGCCAAATCAGAATAAGAGAAAAACACAAAGTCATTTAACAGAAGAAAGAGACAAGTCATAAGATGAAGAAGAGGA